TAACACGTTTCCTTCTCTGAGGGTCTTTATCGAGGCAAATGCAAGAATTGTATTTGGTCACATTGTTATTTCTTTTTCTAATTTAAGAAAAATTGACGCTCATAAATATTCATCAGGTTAGCCGAAAACCCAGACAAGCTATGGAGGACGCAAAATGACACAATTCAATGTCTAAACGGTGAAGTAAGTGTTGTTCTTGAAATTATATATATATATATATATATATATAAAACCAGTTGGAAAAGGACAAGGTGGAACATGGTAAGGTTAAGCGCAATCTTCGTAAAGGTAATCATGAAGCGCTACCTTTCACCCTAAAATTACAGCATGTATGTAGTTTATGTATTAATCTTACTCTTTCAAAGGCAGGTCCTCAAAGTTACCTTAGATCTCATCAGGCTCGATTCATTCAAAGAAACCAGAAATCAACCCTTGTGCCTTCTTGTACACTCTGCCATAAAGTATGAAAGTCAGCTTCTGGATTAACAAGGCACATGAAAATTCCCGTTGATGTTGTACCTGTTGGGCTTAGGGATCTACCTTTCAGGTGCAACATTTAAGCAGAAGCTTGTAAAAGTAAGGCTGGTTTAAAAAATCATCTACGCTTTCATGATCGGTGAGTTTGAAAGTTAAAAAAAAAAATGGAAAAAAGAAATAAATTTGTTGTAGAGATGGTCTTCTTCTGTGATATACACAGATAGAAATTATTAGGAGGATTTGATAATTATATATGTTATATTCTCGGTAGACATTCACCATATATATATATATATATATATATATATATATATATATATATATACAATATATGCAAATAAATCTCTCCATTATGATAAAAGACTTGATTGGAATCCTGTCAGACGAACGTCGATGTTCGCAATATTTGCTAAGGGGGTGGGGACTTCAGAAAGTTCCTCAACCCAATTTTGAGAGACTTAGGTTCGATGACAAAGGGCATTATCCCACTGAGTTGACTCGTCGTTGTTGGGGGTAAATGAAATACCGAAATGGATGCAAATGGTTACTGAAGCAATTCAACGTAGCTGTCACTGGTCAATAACTCAATCTAGCAGACCCAACCCATGTGACGGGAACACACCCGACACTATTATGTGACTGCCTACAGTTTTCACGGTTGTTTCTTGACAACTGGGGCCTGCGTCACAACAGAAACATGACATCAGGAAACTGTGATTAACCTTTGCCAATCTTCCTAAGTCTGATTAATGACATCATATGTCCGGTGTCGTTGTGTTGACAAGATGACCCCGGTAAGTCGTTTCAACACCATATTCCATGGCATCGAAAGAACGCTGACCAACTTGATACGTGTCTGGCGCCTCCAGTATTGCAAAATTTGATGATTTGAGCCACTATCGCTTGTCTGTTACTGAAGACAATTCTAACCTGATGTCTCTGGTTACGATCATTTTAGGACACGTAGTGCGCTGTCCATAAATGGGCAGTAATGCCCTCCAAAAGATCCTCCACGTATACACGTGATAATCTAGATTGGGGTACCTCAGATGTTCTCACAATTTCAGAAAAGGAATTTCCCATCCACCCTAAAACTACGATCATGTTCCATTTTAACTCCAATTCTTCCTGTCACCTTGTCACGAGCAGTCTAAGCGGTCTTCATACTGAATCATTAGTTATCACAACACAACTGAGCATTTTCATGATGTCAAGATCTGGTGGCGCCACCTACCATTTCCTTTACTTACTGCTTCTCAATAACATGGTAAGCTGCAATTTACTGTAATTCTAAGACATGTCCATTCAAATCAGGTTGCTTTGATGAGAGTAGCGACCTTTTCATCAAATACCTCGGGTGTAGAGATTGTTAACAGAGTTTGGAGTTTTGGGGAAACACCAGTAATTTTATTTATGAAGTTAAGTGGAGTGGTTCTCCAAACAAAGAAAGGACATATTTTTAAAATAATTCTTGTGAATAATTTGTGTTCTATTCAAAGTATAAATGTTAAAAGCAATAGAACAATTTTTAATGAAGTTTTTTAAATGACTAAAGCTAATTTGTTAATATTTGTAAATATCTCAGTAATCCCTAAGAGGATTAACAGCAGTGTTTTATCTTATCCTTATCTTTCTCTCTCTGTCAATCTCTCTCTCTCTCTCTCTCTCTCTCTCTCTCTCTCTGTGTCAATCTCTCCCTCAATCTCTCTCCTTTATTCTTTTAGCATTTCTTTTTCTCTATATTTTCTTATTCTTCTTTCGTTCACAGAAAACAAGGGAGATAATTTCTGTAATAATATAAAACATTTCTCTATGTGTTATGGAACTAGCATCTTTATCTTTGTTGTTTGAATCGCTTCTTCTTTAGGCTGATATGTTCTCTGTCTCTCCTAGATCAAGTTTTAAGATGAGATAAATGTATAAAACTGTCTTACAAATTCAAACTAATGAATGAATACATAAGGAAAATTCACTCTTAATATGTTTAGGCTTTCATAAATATTGTGTAGACTCATGGGAAAATGCAAGGAACATCTTTAATAGAAAATCCATATCTTGAAGCATTTTTATCGACCTGAACAGAAATAAAGAAGAAAGGTGGTAACGAAAATTGATGGCGAAAAGTTAGTATTGCATTTAAATCCTAATTGTGATAGATAGGTCCCGATAGACAAAACTTTTATAAGGAAGAAGAAAAATATTAGAGAAACGAACATTAATCAAAAAATAATAAACGATATCCTTCAGTAATAATATACACATCATAACATTCGACTTTCGTCGTCCAAGATGAACATGTCTTCACTTATACATGCTCCAGTGTAAGTGTAGCTGATGATGCCGTTCCCGGCTCTGAAATCAATGGCTCTCATGATGAAGCTATCATCGTGTGTTTTATTGATTCTGCGCCTAATGACAGTTAAAATATCAGCAATTGACCTAGAAGAGCGAAACCCGTACTGTTTGTCGCGCAAGAGGTTGTTTCTGGAGAATTGAACAACAACCTCTTTGTTGATAATAGACTCAAGTTTTCTAAATACTTCCATGATTATCCGGACTTTGCTATTCTTTGAATGACTTACCAGGAAACTGCTCTCTATCATTGACCGGTTTCTTTTCTCTTCGATATCTTCCTGCTGCGTTTGCAATCTACCAACCAAACTTTTGCTCCATCTTGTATCCTTTCTTCATGCTTTGTGTCTCGCTTCACCGCTTTTATTTTTATTATCTTTGCCTGTTTCATGATTGATGTGAACTTTTCTGTCTCTTGGACCCTTCCCTGACCCATGTTTATCTCTTGCTATAACCTGATTCGTTCTCTGATCCATATTGACATTTTCTACCACTTGATCCGTTTCTTTATACATAGTGACTTTTTCTACCACGCGGTACGTTCTTTGATGCAGATTTCTAACTCTTGGTCTGTTCACTGATCTATGTTGACCATTTTCTAACGCTTTGCTCATTATTTCATGTATGTTAACCTCTTTGTATCCCTTGGCCCTTCCCTGATCCATGTTGACCTCTTGCTATCGCTTAGAATTCTTATCCGTAGCTTTGATATTTCCATTAATTTGTGTGCTTTTCTAAGCTAGTTTTCATGTTTGTTTTTTTGTTGTTTTGGGGTTTTTTTTTGTTAATTTCTATGTGTGACAACTGTATACTATACAATCATTATCCAATTTAGGTTTTATGTATATTGACCAGTTGCTTTTCCTTATGCATATTATAGTATTTCTATTAAATGTTCTCTAATTTCGTTTTACCTCGTTTTATTTTCGTGGTCTTTACTTAATGATATAATATCATCTGCCCAAAGGAGATGTATTCCTGAACTTCTTCCAGTTCTTCATCCATTATTCTTGTGATTTTCTTAGAAACGTTACAATCGAACATTACTTTTGAGTTCCCTTCATTTTAAACCTACTCTAGGATTTTCCCTATCCTTTAACATTGCTTCTAATTCATCCGATATTTCTGAAATCATCCTCCTTCCCGAATCGTCATCAAATAAACATTGTTGAATGGTTAGATTCAGTAATTAAGGGTTTTCAGTTGTATACCAACTGACTTCGTACAATTAGTGAGCGTAACTCCTACTAAAGTTTGGAATGTTTCATTTTTAGAGATGGGTTCTCCTTGTCAATGATAGTCACGTTTTTCACCCAAATATATGTAAAGTAGAATCCGAAATAACACTCTGTTGTTGTACCCACCAGACCAATTAACATTTTCTCACATTCCAAAGGTGTGCTTTTCTGTTAGGGGTTTTATTCCTCTACAGCATACAGGGCACAGTCTTCCCACCCGGGGATCCCTATTTAAGTAGTCATCAGAATTAACGCTACTTTCGGTTATCAAACAAGAACCGCTACTTTTAGCGTTACTTCATCGTAAAATTCTAAGATGTGTGTCTGTGAGACGGTGTTCAAAATTTTTTGGCCTGAACCAGTTTCAAAATCTGAACAAGTAAGAAAATTGTTTTAGAATTTCTATTTGGTCGAACCTAGATTTTTTCAGCACGTCCTTTTATATATTTCATCGCTGGTTTGAAATGTGGCGGTTGAGGTGGGGGAGAAATATTTATTTTATTTTTCAATGTTATGTATTTTGTATAATCCATCCTTAAATTTATTTATAAAGATGGGTGCGTCTTACTGGAGAATAATAATGCGTATCAATGAGACAATTTATAAAGTTGTGTGTTTGTGCGTGCATTTGGCGTCTTTGATGGCGTTGGAAGGCGAGGGTTGTGGATACGTTTAGATTTAGTCAGGTTGCTCAAGAAAAGAGTTGAAATCAGAATGAATGGGATTTCTCGGCTCGGATAAATAGAAAAGGAAATAAAGAAAGAACAATTGTAACAGAGGAAGGGAAATGAAAAGGAATATATTTTTCACATATCCTTTCTCATTTACTCTCCTAAATTCTTCTTTTTTTTCTTTCATTCTTAGTTATTCCTACATATAACTAAGAAAGAAAGAAAGAAAGAAAAAGAAAGAAAGAATTTAGAAAAGTAAAGTTTACGTGAAAATAAATTGAAAAGAAAAGTTAATTAGGAAAGAAAGAAAGGAAGAATTTAGAAAAGTAAAGTTTACGTGAAAATAACTTAGAAAGAAAGAAAGAAAGAAAGAAAGAAAGAAAGAAAGAAAGAAAGGACAAAACTGGGGTAAAAATAAGGACGAAAGAAAGAAATTGGAAGAATCAAGGAGAAATGTTGGTGAAAATTGGCAAAGAAATGAAAGTTGATTTGAAAAGAAAGAAAAACAAAAATTATAAATGTAAGAAAAATAAAAAAAATAAAAATATAAATAAGAAAAACAAGTGAAAAAAACAAAAGCAGAAATAAAAAGAGAATTAAAAAGTGAATGAAAGAGATTTCCGCTCATCGACACAGTAATGAAAAGAAAAGAAAAATCAATCAAAACTGGACAGAAAATTTATAAACGAAAACAAATATAAAAATAAAATTAATTTAAAAATAATTATAAATATAGTAGTTAAAAATAAATAAATAAGACAATATGAAAAAATGAAAATAGAATATGAAAATGAATAAAGGAAAGAAAATATCTCTGTTAGAAAGAAAGAGAGAAAGAATGAATGATACAAATAAAGAATTTTTAAAAAGAAAAGAATGTTAGAGAAAGAAAGAGAAAAAGAATGTTTCAAAAAGAAAAAGAGTATGAAAGAAAGAAAGAAAGAAAGAAAGAAAGAAAGAAAGAATGTATGAAAAAAGAAAAAGAAAGAAAGAGTATCAGAGAAAGAAATAAGGAATGCATAGATAAAAGAAAAAATAGAATGAAAAAGTTTAAATTTAAAAGTGAATAGAAATCGTTTTAAGAAGTGAAAAACAATTTTATCAAATGAATAAAAGAAGGAATACAATAGAAGTCGCTTAAATAAAAATGAAATCTAAAAATATAGAAAGTATTGAATAAAAGGAAAGAAGAAAAATGGGAAAAAAAAGGATGCCGTAGACGGAAGCAAAAATCGCTGCTACCGATAAAAGCAGGGAAACCATGTTTAAGTGATATTAAAATTTGCACACTCTCACGCATGCGCAATCTGTCTACACTAAAAATTTAGTTTCTGTGAACGAGTGTCATGTTTAAGCAGAAAGAACAAGTAAGTAATGTAAAGACCTTCTTCCTCTCTTTCACATTCCTTCCCTTCTTTCTCATTCATTAAAAATTTATTCACCTTCGTCACCTCTGGGGCGATGTTACTAAAAATTATTTACTCCTTTTCGTTGTTGTTGTTTTCAACTCAGAGGGTGTCTTTCGCTTGGTCTCAAGCGACACCAATTCTTCTCAATACTCCAGCGCTTGTTCCAGTATTCTTGGCCATGCTCTCTTCCGGATAGTTTCCGATCTTCTTCAGGTTACCTTTTCTGCTAATCTCTCGGCTGGTCCCTTCAAGTGCCCCAGTAGTGAGAGATACATTTTCGACTGGAATAATAATGTACGCGACCTGATAGACCATCTTTTCCTTATTTCCGATTATTAAACCTGTTCTTCTTGTCTGGATTAAGATTAATGGTAATATTAACCGTTTCCTTATTAAATATTCGGCATTCATTGATCGCCGAGCAGCCAGTGCTACTTTCGGTGGAAATTTATAAAATCTTACTATTAAAACAATTTTCCAGAAAATAGTTTTCGAGAGTCTAGTAACTGTTATCGCTCTTTCCAGTATCGATGGGGGTTTCCTTCCTAACTTTTTGTTTGAAGTAGTGTGGAACGTCAACATCTTGATTATGCCTCGATTTTCTCTTTCTTACGCATGCTATCCATTTTAGTTGTTGCTACTTTTGAAAGTCCTCAAGTGATGTGGTTTCTGTTATTTGGCACCGTTCTTTGTGATTCTGTAACACTAATCAGCAATGTTCGAATAGAATGCTAAGACTTACAGGCTTCTTTCGTTCGAACCCATTTTTAACCATTGATCTGAGGAAAAGGTTGTATACAGCTGACCTTTTAGATATTTCTGAACAGGTTTGACACCATGTATGACATCCATATGAAAGTCTCGATTTGACGAGGTTATTTAAGAATACGACTCGAGTTTTCAGGTTATTATTTTGGTTTGGTAGCAATTTGCGGTGTTGTGTGAAACTACACCTAGCGCAGCCAATTCTATATTTAGTTTCCTTTACATTTATGCTATTTTTTAAAAACTAGTCCATACACTGGTGTATTTGAAGTGTTTAGTATTTACTAATTTCACATCTTGAATTTTTATTATGAATTCAGTGTAGGTACCATCACTGCTTTCATTCCAATTCTAGATCAACTTTTACTGTTTTGGAAAGATTTAGCTTGTGTCCCATTTCTTTAAAAGCTTGGTAGAGGATACTGATTTTTTTTCAAGATCGTGCTTATACCAACTATGAATATCTACGTCATCAGCAGCGCCTTTCTCATCATCAGGACATTGGCTGCGGGAAGGAAAGCAGAATCACTGTTTTCTAATAATAGATTCGTTTGGGATATGATATGGAATACTTAAATATTCAGTGTCTATTTATACACATCTGTGCTTGTATACACACAGTCTAGTTTAGAAAAAGATTAAATATACTGGGTCTGTCATTTCCTCTTTTTCAAACACTTGATGCGGTTTAAAGTGATTCGGTATTGGATTCCTCATCAAATATTTACGATTTTGTGGACTGATTTAATTCCTCCATCAGATTCAGACATTTAGTGGAGTTAGACATTGAAAGGCGGTTTCTAATGGATGAGAAGAGAAAATCTCTTGATGTAACCATATGCTGCTGTGAAGTCAACATGACAAGTATACAATTTTTTTATTGGAGAGTGGTTTGAAATTTCATGGGATTGTTTGGTGACATATATGCGATCATTACACTTTTTATCAGAACAAAAACAAATTGGTTTGTGAGGAGTTGATTTTCAAAGTACTTTCACCGTAATGGATGCAATAGAGATTCATTTTCACTTGTAAGGGTCTTAGGGGGTCAACTTTTTGCTTCTATAGTGCGCATTAATGCGCTTAAAACCTCACTTATTGATGATACGTTTCTGATTCCAGACATCCTTCATGAAATTGGGAAACTTGTTTTTTTTTTAATTCGAAGGGGTATGCAACTTTCAAAAGTTCACCCTCAATATCAATGCTTTATTATTTCTTATTTTTATAGCGTTCATAACTTCCTTATCACTAGGATTGTTATTGTTTTCATTTGGGGACAGACATTGTAATGATCGGGTGTACATTGGTGTATGTTCTAGTTCCGCTGGCATCTTTTAGCTTAGTGTGTTCAGGGTTGAAATGCGATTCAAATTGTTTTTGAGATCAGGACATTTCTTCTGTTGATTTCGATTACATTATACTGTCCAGACTTTTAGCTTCATTAATGTGGTTTCCAACTCTTCGGAGATATTGGTTTCTCAGAACATTATTTTTGTTGTTGCTGTTTAGTATTCTTCCGTCCATTTTGCTTCCTCTTCTGTTTGTTTCTTCTTTGCAACAATCTTTTTAACGGGAGTGTCTTTTTCCGTCTAAGTATTCTTGGAATGGCCTCATCTGCTTCGGACAACGCAGATACGATTACATTATTTGGTTCCTCTCTGTCGTTTTGGTCAAGGTTTAGGCACAATAATTTGGACTCTAGTTTATCACAAAATTCTACTCTTACACTTTCATTTTTAAGGGTTTGGATGTTATACCTTGATGTTTTACTTGGTTTATGTGAGCGGAAACGTATTTTGTTGGTTGATACTGTCATTTCTGCCACAAGAATTCTGTGATCAGATTCAAAATCGGAGTTGTATACTCATCCGTCACAAATTGCGTAAAACAAGAGTTCAGGGTGTTGAAATCAATAATCTTTTGGTCACGTTATCTTGGCTATGGCATGTGATCCGTTGTTTCATGGGATAGTTGAACCACACGTTTAAGATGGAATATTTTTTTAAGAATTCTGGTGAGCCGTCCGACCCTTCTAACTATCGACCTATTAGCCTTTGACCTCTTTTTGAGAAACTGCTAGTGACCGTAATCAATATTGAACTGGTTCATCATCTCATCGCAGAGCCTTTTTTCTCAGACAAGTAATATGGCTTTCATTTATCCAGGTTAACTGCTGATGTATTGAAGATCTTTGTAGAAAGCGTCTATCATGCTCTAGATAAAAAGGTGAAACCCGGACTGTAGCATTGAACATCTCGAAAACCTTTGACAGAGTCTGGCATTCGGGTCTTCTCCACAAGATGAAAAATTTATGGTGTCTCCGGACATTTTTTTTTGAACTGATCCAGTCTTTCCTATCAAGTTATGAAATGAAAGTTATCCTGCACGGCCAGTCGCTTACATCATTTCGTACTAACGTGGATCTCTCCTACTTTGTTTTACTTTACCTTAATGACCTTCCTGACAACATTAACTCTCAACTTGGTATCTACGCTGATGATACAATTTACTCCTGTCTCGATAGTAAGACTTATCAGTCCGAAAAGGTCAAAATGGCAGCCGAGATCCAAAACGACCTCAAGTCCGTCGTTAACTGGGCAAAAGTTGGCTTGTTAATTTTATAATGCCTCCAAAACCAACCTCCTCTCTATTAATCATCTGAGAGACCACTCTCTGCCTTCTATCAACAAGGCTGATGCTAACCTCCATAAAAGTGACTCGTTGCGCCTTCTCGTGTTCACGTTTTCTGCTGATTATATTGAATCCATTGCTTGGCAAGCTGCTAAGAAAATCGGTTCACTATGTCATGTGAGACATTTTTTCTCTCCAGAATCTATCTTACATATCTATAAGTCTACCATTATGGTCCGGTGTCCCTGCTATTTACCTTGAGCTCTTTGTTAAGGTCCAAAGAAGAATCAGCAATATTATTGGTCCTGATCTGGTGGTTCAGCTCCAGTCATTTTCCCACCACCGTAAGGTTGCCTCCCTGTGTCTTTTCTAGAAATATTTTCATGGTAATTGTTCGAATGAAATCTTCACTATGGTACCTAGAGGTTTTTGAGTTTAAGCGCAGCTCTAGACTGGCATCGAGATTTGCAGTTGGCTATTTGTAGCCGTAAATTCTATGCTAAAAGTTTCTTTTCTCACACTTCTCACTTCCGGTCCCATGTTTTCCAGCCAACTTTAATCTGCAAAAAACTAAATGCAATGTCAATCGCTATCTACTGTCCTCCTGATTACTCTCTTCTCTTTCTGCTCATCATTATTGTTTCTGTTCCTAATTCTTCCAACACCCTGTAACCCTCCCTTGTGTATTAGTAGTATCAATGTTTTGCACTGGGTGATACCAATTAAAAAAAATAATAAAAAATTTGATATCAGTTCTCCATTGCTGTTTCAAAGGCTGATGTCTTCTTACCACCAAAGGAGCAATATGGTTGAAAAATGCCAAAGAAATCGTTAAGATCTACATTAATGAATTTTTTCCTACTACACATATCTTAGTTAACCCTCTGTAGAAGTTCTGTTTTTTGGTTTTTTTGGGTTTTTTTAAACAACGCATTTTTCCGAGAGGGCTGTGGGTTACACCACTTGAATTTGCCAAAAACGCCCATTAGGGCAGCGCTGTTAAAGTCTATAAAATGTCAAACAGTTCTTTCATCTTTCTCTTTTTTCCTCTTTGCACCCAAATTTAGTCGCACACAGGTAAGATGTCCTCGACTGAAGCACGTTAATTCGCGAGCCTCTCTATTATTTGAACTCTCGCGTACACGCACATACATACACGTGTATTACACACGCTTATTTCAAACACACACACACACACAAACACATACGCATACACAAGCACATTCTTATAGCTAGTTTTAACGTCTTTTCCTTTCATTACAGTTGCGTACATATGCAATTACTTTCCTTAATATATGCATATAATTACCGTTTGTTTTAAATTCATTGTTTTCTGTTATTTATTTTTACTCGAACTCACTTATGTCTGCCAATATTGTTTACGGGGCAAATGTTCAAAGGAGTTCATAAATATTTACTGTAATACAATCACACACCTCATATTCAAACAAACGC